TTCTGGAACAAAGTCATCAGTTCCTAAATTTCATGATGGGTGGCCACCAGAGTGCCTGCTCCATTTTTATTATTCACATCTCTCTCTCTCTCTTTTTTTTCTGGACTCTGAATGTACTCACATTCATGGAAGAAAAAGGCTAGGACAACAGTGGGAGCTCCTCTCATCATGCCCACATGCCCTTCTATTTGTTATTGTTTTTCTTTAAGAAATACAAAAACATTTTTGCTGTGAGTCAGGAGTGGTGAGCTACTGCGGCTTGCCTCCTGGGACGGGCTGCAGCAGCCATGAAGAAGGGACAAGCTTCAGTTCCCAGGACAATGGTCTCTTTGACTGGGAATATACCGAACCAGAATTACAAGTGTGCAAGAATAAACAAGGCCGGAGTCAATCTAAAGTTGTTTTACACTCTGTTTTATTAAAGTCAATGCATTTCCGTTCCTATGTGCAGCGCCTTGGTTTGCTTAATTGTAGACACCCAGGGTGAATGCTAATGGAGGCGGACAGCCCTCGATCTGAAACCAAGGCCCTTTTCTGACCTCTACAGGCCATTTGGAGGAAAAAAAGGAAGCTGCTTCTGGAAAATAACAGATCAGGACGCACCACAGAGCAGGGGCTGAGGGAGATTTTTCCTGGATGCTTCCTTGCTGCTCTGAGCGAGCTGGACACAGGCGTGTCCTACTTTTCTGCATCTCTGCTATTCATGTTTAATAGGTTACTGAGGCAACGAGGACGAGGTCATTCTCAGGAGACCTTTGGAATGGAAATTAAGATCTCAATCACTCAACCCATATTTAATGAAGGCCCTCCATATCTTGGGCACAATGCTAGGCCCTCAGGACATAGCGGTGAACAACATCATCTCTCTTCTCCAAAAATGCAAAGTCTGGGGGGCGGGGGTGGGTGGGTAGAAAAACCCATAGGCAATACCATGCAACAGAAGCTATGACAGGGTTTCTCCACGCCTCTGTGGGAACTCGGAGTCAGATAAGGGAAAGACTACATGGAGGAGGATACATTTAGGATATGATGAATAGAATTAGACACAGAGGTGGAAGCAGAGCGAGCGAATGAGGAAAGTGCTTTCTGGAAACTGCAAGTGATTTTTTATGACTCCAGTAGGGGGTTTTGTTAAGACAGGACACCAGAAACTCAGCCAGTGGCTGGATACCCAAGGGCTCAAGTGCCGGGTTCCGTTTGCATTTTATCCTTGGGACCATGGGAGGCCATTGAAAGGTTGTAAGCAGCAGAAATAGAAACAAATGCTCATTCCAAACATCATCTGGCTGCACAGGGAAGAAAGGGCTGGAAAAGGAGGCAAAATCACAGGTGAGGAGAGCTGTGGGAAACCATCACTGAAACCCAGGCAAGAAATGAACCAAGGAGAATGAGTAATGGGCAGATGCATTTAAACTAAAGGTAAGAAGAGCAAGGCTTGGCAAGACTTGTGGATCCATGTGTTTAGTGAACGTTTGAGTGCCTGCCTTGCTCAGACTTTGGGCTGTGCATTGGGCACACAAAAAAACAAGACAACACAGATTCCTGTCAAGGTGATCAAGTGAGGAACTTGGAGGTAGGTTTGGTGGGAGGAAATCATGAGGATGTGACTTTGAACCTGTGAGTATGAGGTGGAGTGGAGTGTTCTGCAGGGATATCCAGACAAGTTACTTATATTTGAACCAAGGATTGAAAACAACAATAATCCTGCCCTTCGTGGAGACAGGGAATTACTCTGTGACTTCTAAAAGACCCTCAGGGGTCTTTGAAGAGACCACTTTTCTTTGGAGTGCAGACTTAGGTGTCAGACCACCTGGGCTGAAACTACGATCCTACTACTTACTGGCTGCATAATCATAGGCAAGTGCTCGCCTTCTTATGCCGTAGCATCCTCACCTGTCAAAGGAGGCATAACAAGAGGGCTTACCTCAGGGTTAAGTTGTGAAGCATAACATGATAACACATGGTCTTAGACATGTGTCTTCATGTTCAGCACACGTTAACTTTAGCATGACAGGGGGTGGGAATCAGAACTTTTCTGGGAGCAGATTCCAGTTCCATCACCTCCTAAAAGTGCAACTGAGCCTCACTTTGGAAAATGGCAGTAATGATGCCCATCTATCGCAGGAAGCCGTAGGGAGAGCTTAAATGAGTATGAGCAGAGAGGGAATCACAGACAGGTTTTTTTCTCCCCTAATACCTTCTAAAATCACTTCCTCTTCAGACTGAAGTGTGGGTGGGGACCAGATGATATGATTCTATCTGAGAACATCCATTCATTTAACCTTCATATTCTGGCCGACAGGGCTGTCCATCTCTTTGCTCCCTCACTCTGTCCCACAGCTAGCACACAGAACTGACCTCATTGCCACTTCCTATCCTGACCTTCAAAGCACAAAGCCATACTCAGACACCTCAACTGAACTGCTCCAACAACTGTGCTTAATTATTATTATTAGTGTTTTGTTGGGGGCACGGTGGGGTGGTGGAGGTGGTGGTAATATTTGTCTACTGCTAAGAAATCATCTTAACCCTATCCGGCCCTAGAAAAGCTCAGAAGTTCCTAATCAGAATAACAAGTTTGTTTTAGGCAATCATCCATTGTTCTATTCTGTCTTGTCATAAAACCCAAATGTGGTTTATCTGGTAATTCTCCCACAAGTATGCATTCTCTTCCAGAGAAGACTGGATCCATTTTTCCTCATGACCTAATAAGCAGGCTCAAAATATATACATGCTAGAAGACTAGTTTATGCCATATGCTGATACGAAGGCTTCACCTTCTTCCCAAAAAATCTTCCATCTCAATTTGTGTCTGGCAATATGGGGTAAAAGCACCATCTAGCTGCTCCCTACTTTTATGGTCATTTGTCTGATCATAAACTTTCCCTCACTCACTCTGTTTCCTTGCTTAAAGCCCTGCATTTACATTGTGAGTGTGCATGTGTGTGTATGTGTGTGTGCATGTGTGTATGTGCGTATGTGTGTGTGTGTGGTAGGGAACTCAAGCTCAATTCCATCTCCATTGGGTTGGAATGTGTGCAGTAGATGATGTTAAGTTATATACAACTGTATTCTTTTTATTATTAGGCACCAAAAGGCTGTAATACAATCCGTTTTTATCCAAAAATGTCTTTTTACCACTTTCTTTTTTCTAAACAACACTTTTTTTTCTATCGAGAACCAGTTGGGCACTCATGAAGCCAAACCGCAACATGAACAAAAGAGGACATCTGTTGGGAAGACAGCAGTAGGCTCCAGACCTAATGAATTATTTTTGCCCAAAAAAGCTCTCATGGTGAGGACCCAGGCTACTGTCTCTGTGCCATTCCAAGCCTGGAGCCTTTAAGGGGCTGGAGAGGGTTGTACCAGCAGGGCAAAAGGAATCCATCACTCTAATGCAAATGTTCAGACTCACCACACAGGCCACTGTCCTGAGTCCCTAACAAGGATGACTTACGTCAGGCATTTCATGGAAGCTCCTTCTCTTGGAAGAGAGCAGAGACTCCCCTTGGCATATGAAATCAACTCTACAGCTCAGTTGTCCAGGCCAGGAAATAAAAGCCGGGCATGAGAACTTCTCCCCTTAGGGGTGTCATGTGACCCAACTTGCATTGGCATCCCTCAACGTGAGCCCGTAACTCAAAAATCAGGTTATTTTCAAATGTGCTCTGTGGCTCTGAATCCTTTTTTTTTTTTTTTTTTTTTTCTGTAGGCCTGGAAGAAACTGGAGCCAGTGGCTGGAATGCTTGGATTCTCACTGACAGGACTGTAAGAAGTACCCAGACAGCCAAGTTGGCACAACGCACATGGAGCCTTGTGCCCGGTCCCACCAAAGGCAGTCTGTGGTGCAGAGCACCTGGCTGAATCCTGCAGCCTCTGGCAACTCCTCAAGATTCTGCTCCCCATTCTCTCTGCTCTATCTAAACATTTGCACAATACAGGCAAGGGCAAGGCCACTCTGCTCCTTCTTAAGCTTGCCTCACATGGGAACCAGTCTTCCATGGAAACCATCAGCTTGAGGGGCCGAGGTGTGCATGTGCTGGATGCCCTTTTAGTGAAATCAGTTACCTTTTCTGAAACACAAACTCTGATTTGAGATGGGAAATGAAGGAATCCAAGGGAAATATATGGGATTTCACTGAGACGTTGGACGTTCAGGTTTGAGGTTAGGGGGAAGATACATTTTGACTGCGGGCCAATGTGTTGAGAAGTATGCTAGCTGCAGGGAGAGGTGACAAGATAATATCAGGCACATGCATCTTAGAGTTCTCCACCCATTGGCCAGTGGGGGTGGGGCTGTGAAAACCACATAAATAAAATTGTAAATAGAAAGCATGCTTTAAGAGGGATGCATAAATGGTGCAGCAGGGACACAGATGAGGGATTATAGAACCTGGCTGGGCTGATTAGGAAAGGTCTTACAGAAGGAAGGTGGTATTTGAACTAGGTCTTGCAATGCCCAAATCGCATAATGGGAGATGCTCATCAGAGACAGAGGAAAAATGTGAAAATGTGTGAAAAATCAAAGAAGGGGGCGCCTGGGTGGCTCAGTTGGTTAAGCGACTGCCTTCGGCTCAGGTCATGATCCTGGAGTCCCGGGATCGAGTCCTGCATCGGGCTCCCTGCTCAGCGGGGAGTCTGCTTTTCCCTCTCCCGCTCCCCCCCTCTTATACGCTCTCTCTCTCTCTCAAATAAATAAAATCTTTAAAAAAAAAAAAGAAAAGAAAGAAAAATCAAAGAAGGTATTTAGGGAGTTATGTGGCTCAAGAAGTGGTGTGTGTGCATGTGTGTGTGTGTGTGCATCTGTGTATGTGTCTATGTGTGCTCACACTCATGCATATGTGCAGTGAGATAAAATAAAGCTATGTCCCATGGCAAACAAGAGATTGCAGGATGGCAAAACCTAAGTTAGTAGAGAAGACTGGGGGCCAGGTTGTACAGGGATCTTTTTCCTGTAGGAAATATGGAGCTAAAAAGTCCTTTGCCAAGGGAAGTGTCAAGAGCAGCCTGCATATTCCACCCTTAAGGAATCGTGGAAGTATGATCCTTAGGGGATCACAAGAAGCCTTGTACTTCTCTACCCCTAATGGGACTGCCCTAGAGGTGTAAAAGGCCAGCTACCCATGTTTGCCCATCAGAGAAAGTGCACAGGGTGCCCCAGGAAACTGCAGCCCCCTTGCCCAGCCCACTCTGAGTCCTAGCCCTGCCAGGCAGAGCACTGGGTACCAGCTGGTACCGGACACCTGTGCCCATGGTCTGGCTCCAGCATCACTTCTCCAGACTCTCATCCCCCCTGCACACTTTGAACCATATCTGCTTCCCATTAGAGCCCATCACTGCCTGGAATCCTTGAGTAATCTTGTTTGGCTATGAGTTTGGGGGAACAGGGTTTTCAGAACAATTCACTATAGTCGTTTGGCCAACAAGACACATGTCTGGCCAGGCTAGAAGAGCCATTCCTATCATTATTTGGAGTTGACTTGCCAGTGAGCCCTCTCTTCGGCCCCAAGACCGAAAACGAGTGAGGTGTGACACAGAATGGCCTTCAGTCCCAGCAGGAAGGGACGGAAGTCAGCTCTCTCTCTAACTCTTCTGTTCCCTCTGAACAAACTCCTTCTCGGCTGACTGGCACCTGGGCTTAGTTGCTCAAGACTTTCACCAGTCCCCATCTCACTGCATATACCTCTCCTTCTACTGATATACTTCTAGAAGTCCTTTCCTCATGGACCTGCCATAGGCCCCCAGTATTCAACATGACCCCAAACTGCACTCATTATCTCTCATCTTATTGCAAACCTGCTGATCTACAAATAGGGTAAGTTCACACTTAGGGTCCTCATATTACTGAATTACCACCATAGCAGGGTATCCAGTCAATCAGTCATAAGCAAGCAGGACAGCGGTCCCACTGCATGCCCACAGACATCATTCGGGGGCATGCTTCTGCTGAAGATTCTTTGTCTCCACCAGCACATTCAGAATAAAGACTGACCTTTTCATCAAGGCATGTCAATGTTGCCTGATCATTTCAATGCCAATGTTCTCAATTTCATCTCTTGTCACTCCCTTCCCATCCCCACAAACAAACACATCTTTTAAACCAGTCACACTAATAATTTTATTCCAAGTTTTAACCCCACCCTAGGGCTTTTGCACAAACTCTTTCTACTCCTTAGCATGTTTCTTCTCCTTTTCACCTGAAAACTCTTGCACATCCTTCAAGAACCACCTCAATTATCACCTCTTGGTACACGTTTCCCACCACTGCTGCCCCATTAGATGATCTTCTGCAAAGCTCCATAAAGGCTTGTGCCACTGCATTGAAATGTTTACTGCTTATCTTTCCCACTTGCAAACAGAGTAGGTCCTTTTCCTTGCATTCTTAGAGCTTAGTAAAGTCACGACACATAGTAGGTGCTTAATGTATGTTTGCTAAATGGATGAATCCATGTCCCATGTCACTGGCTTTTCCTGAACCTCCAAGTAGAAATTTACATGTCCTAGTCACTTGCCCTCAGAAACATGTCAGGTGACCAGAAGTTCATCCCATAAGCAAATTTGAGCTGAGGCACACAAAGTGGCGATGATGAGTCACAATTATTTCCATCCTTCCCAACATTTACATTTTCAATGCAACTGTCTTCTTGACTCCTCCAAGCAATGGGAGAACAGAAACATAATGCTATCCTCTATTTAAGAGTGGAAAGGTTTATAAGAGAAGTTAAGCCCTGCTGTTATCTGGGATTTGAATGTGGTGTCTTTGCTATTTCCTTTAAACTTCTTATATACATTTCAGACATCTGAGTGTCTTAACACCAAGAATGGATATGTGGTTTCTGAACTATAGCAAAGAAATTTGGAAAGGAGTTGGAAAAAGAAGGGATTATCAATAATAATAGTAGTAGCAATAATAATAATAATATCAGCTCTTCGGATCATAACACGCCTGCCTTTCTCCTATGCCTTGGGGCTAAATTATGGCAACGTTCTATGGTGTGGCTTTCTGCTGGTCTAGAGGGTTGCTGTGAGTTTTTTCTGAAATTATTGTTTCCAAAATCTCAAGGTGGTGATTGGCTTATCAGGAGAAGTATTTGGCAATATTTGATCCCCAGTATGCATTATTCCCTTTTCCCTATGCCCAACTCAAATAAAGACTATATTTTACACCCTCTCTTGCAGCTACCTGTGACCACAGGACCACTTGTTAGATGGTGGTATTAAGGAGAAGTGTAATGTATAGCTTTTTGAAATATAGAGAATGTGTTCTTCTTTTTCTATCCTTCTTATTGCTGACTAGGATGTAGATGCAAAAGCTGATGCTTTAGCAGCCATCTTAGACTAAGAGTAGAAGCAACACACAGCAAAGCTAGAAAGCAATAGAAACTGGGCGCTGGACACCTGGTACTCACAATATCAGCTCTGGCCTGCCTATATCTGGAATCCACATAAAAGATAAACAGATTATGTTTTACAAAGGTATTGCAATTTTGGATTCTCCTTCTCTCATAGCCAAACCTAATCATAACTAAATATATATGGCATCTGGACAAACATAAATTTGACCTACCATATTTTCTCCATCTTATCTCTCATTCAGTATCTGCCTTTTATGCCCCTTCTCATCCTTTCTGCATGAGTCCTGTACACCTAGACATCATCCAAATCTCTAAGCTATTTGCCCCTGCATGCCGAAGGGCCTTGCTCAATTTCACTTACTTTATGACATTCCAACCTCCTACACTCTGCTCCTCTGTAACCTCCTTCCCAGAAGCCCTCCAGGAAGAGGGACTACTTTCTAACCACGTGACTGTAGGTAATGTTTTCTGTAACTGAGAATGCCTATACAGAATGTTCTACTTGTGTTATGAAGGAAAACCAGCCAACATTATTGGGTGCCTACCATGTGCCAATCTGTATGCTTTTATATATTATCTCATTTCATCTTCATGATAACTTTATAATATGGATAATGTTCATCTCCATTGTATGTATAAGAAAACTGAGGTTTAGGGAAATCTAATTAGTAGCCTTAGTTCTCCTAACAACTGATTGCCATATCCAGGGTATGAGCCACGTCTGTCTGAATCTGAAATGAATGATTTTTCCACTACGACTTGCTGCCTTCCAGCATTATGGTTAGTGGCCTGAATTCATAGGATTTTAAAGTTTGTAAAGACCAATGGCCATGTCTTATTCAGTATTGTGCCTTTTCCCTTAGAATCTAGGACAGTTCCTGGATTATACTGGATCTGTAAAATATACACTATTAAAACAGACTAAGCATGATGCTTGCAAATTCTCCATTGTGCATCCATTCATGTTCAATAATTCAGCAGCTGAATACCCTGCTAGGACCCTCAGAAGTCTCAGTGGGGCTCATAACTTGTGCTGAGGAGCTCAGATGCTATAGTAGGAAGACAACTAGAGGAGATAACATTCATATGTAGAACAACTTAGACAACCATATAGAAATCTGGCTGAGAAGCCAAAAAGAAGCCCAACTCCTAGTTCCAGGCTCCTCCAGTTTCAAGCACAGGAAGGGAGAAGAGCTCAAAATAGTGCTGAGAGGATCCATGGTAATCCTGCGTGTAGCCCTTTCTAGCATAATGGCAGCTTGCATGGGCTCCAAAGGCCACCTAACTATGTATGTAAAAGGTATAACTGTAACATAGCTAGTCTCTATGCCTAATGAAACTAGAACAAACTCTGGAATTAGGTTGCTGGGCTCACATGGGCTGGCTTTTGGCACCGATGCTGTACATGTGTGGTGGTAAAGAAACAACAGAGCTGCTAGTCCATGGTTAGAGACATGGAGCTCGCTCTGAACCTCAGGGCTAAGGGATGGCTTTTCTTCCCTGGCCTGGCCCCTCTTCTTCTTCCCCTCCCTCATCCTTGTGGAAAGCGCACTCTTGGATCTGCCGGTCCAGCTCAGAGAAGCTCCCTTCTGGGTCTGAGCTGCTGTCTGTACTGTAATCAATTTCCTCCATGCAGGGGGGCTCATCATCCAGTTCTGAGGTCACGCTGCTGCTGCGTCTGCCGTGGGTTCCCAGGAAACAGGAGAAGAGAGGAAGGAGAGGAAGGGAGGGAAGGAAAAAGGGATGAAAAATACAGAAGGGGAGGAAAACAGAGAGAGGGAGGTGGGGAGAGAGGAGAAGGAAATGAAAAGAGAAGTTACCCAAAGGAAGGAGCATTTACAATTGATTGGAAAGGGAGAAGGAAAGTTATCTTCCCTGAGTCTGCATCTCAACAGCCCCTGGTCCTTTAAATGTGTCCCAAACACAGTCCCTGGGTCCTCAACCATTATTTTGAGATGGGGGGAGGAAATCACATAAAATCTTTGGGATTCCTTCTTCCTTTGCCAGAAGAGTCTGCATTTCTAAGTCAGATCAGAAGGTTTCCAATCAGAAGAGGTGGACAACCTCACATACTTAAGGTCTTCAGGGTCTTTGTGGCTCAAAGTGAAATATCAGAGAAGGGTGTCACTGTCACTGAGTATTGGGGAATGCCACGTCAACTGTGTCCAGGGAAGGGTGGAATTGGAATTCAGGGAGCTAAGACCAAAAGCCCTAATGTATCCCACTGCTACTCACAGCACTATGAGTCATTACATAGCTCTCGTTCATTATGATGGATGGTTTATTAGAATTAGACAATCCAGGTTGAAATTAATAAAGGAGAGAGTAAGCGGGCAAACAGCATTCTCTTTCTGCTATGTTTGTACATCCCATCATCTTCCTTCTCTCCCTTTTATGTTAGTTTATTTACAAATGGAAGATCAGCAGGGGTTGACCAGCAAGAGGTAGAAGGGGGCAACAGGAATGGACAACAAACCTTGAACCCATATTGAGAGCAGGGGATATTTCTTCCCAAAGAACTGTATATCTATCTCATTTGCATGAGGTACCTTCTTTCCTGAAGACTTTCTAATCACTCCCTACTTAGGACTTAACCAATTAGGATTAACAGTGTGCTGGGTTTCTACTCTGTGATTTATGGAAGGCAAGTACTACATAAATCAGGCAGAGCTGTTCATCCACCTGCCTCGCCATAAACAATGAAAATGGGTAATCAGCAGCATGGTTACATGTTAGCTCAGGAAATGAATCAGAGTCCAGTTTCCTAATTGTCTACTGACTGATGAGAGCAGCTTCCATGCTCCCCAGGCCCTTGGTACCCTAAACTGAAGGTCTGGTGGGACATTGCCTGAATGGAGAGGAAGGGGAAGAAATCTGAATCTTGTTTCCACAGTCCCACAGCATTAAACTGTTATCATATTTTACAAGCTGAATTGGGGGTGATAAAGCAGTTGAGTAAAGGAAGGTAAGAGCTGCCCAACTGTAACACGAGCTCAAGTCAGCAAGAACTGATTGCCTGTGAGTCAGCCATCACCATATGAGGGACCCAGATGACATGCTGTATGATGTCAAGAGCCTGAGCTTCAATCCTGGCCATGAGACCTTAGAAAACCCCCAGCCTCACAGAATAGCAATAATAGTACCTTAAGAGCTATTGTGCAGACTAAATGAGAAAGCACACAGATGCTTTCTAGCAGAGTGTCTTGCAGAGTAAAGGCCATCAACAAATTTTAATTCTACTGCTCTACTGTGGATATGAAAGAAGAGGGTGAACCATGGTGTTGAAGGAGGCAGGCATTGAGCTTTGTTGCTTCACACCTGGGTTATAACTACAGCAAAACCATTCAAATTTGCACTGCCAATAACTTTTCTAAAGCATCATTTTTATTATGCCACTTCCAGATTTGGAATTTGCAATGACTCTTCCTTGTTTATTAATGCAATATGGGTATTGATGGATGGGATGCTCCCTATGGGGTCCAGTTGGCAGGAGTCCATAAGTAAACAACAAGGTCAGTCTTCCCCTAATGAGGGCCTGTCTTTCCTCCACTGCAGAGTCTGCTCTAATCACTCATGGACCTGGACCTTTCCCACCACAATAAAGTCATCAAGCTGTTCTGGTTGTGATCACCCAAACATATCAGACTGAATGTTTTTCCAAGCCTTTATTCAGGTAACCAATTTCTCATCTCTAAAATGATCTTACAACTCCTCAGCATCCAACCAAATAAGATATATCATTTTTAAAAGCTCATCTTAATCACCAAATAACTGTCTTGATAGCTCTATCTCTTTGAAATTTTCTCCCTTTAAATATTAATCTTCACATATTCACTTAATTTGTTTTGATCCTTAATAACATTTACAGTCCTATTGTGAATAAGGCCCAAGCCTCTGCCTAATTCCATTATTATTCTATAGAAAGTCTAGAATGTGCTAATAATATAGTAGACATAAAATAAACAGTTGCCAAATTGAACATTAACAAGTATGTATGTAGAAAAATACATATATACCATTTTGGACCATCTTTGGGGGGAATTACTTTTTTCTTGATTTCTTTTTCAAAGGTTTTATATATGAATTAAACCATAATTATCACATTAGTGCATTTTGTTGATTTCAACAAATATGGCTTCCTTTGCTACTGATACATATAATGTAATATAAAATAAATACATATTACATAATATACAATGTATAATATAGTATTAAATCATATATTTACTTATATATAGAGATTTATATATGTATATTTATATTTATATTTAGTTTATATATGTAAATATATATTTACATTTATAGTTAACTTATATATGTAAAGGCCTAAAAAAGTTTAATTACATCTCTCACTTATTTCTCCAAATAGAGTACAAGTATTCTAATAACTTAGAAAATCAAATTACATATTTAGGAACTTCCACTTCTCTTTTTTTCTCCTTATAAATTATCCTGGATATTTTATATAAAACAAACATAAGAAGGGCGCCTGGGTGGCTCAGTTGGTTAAGCGACTGCCTTCGGCTCAGGTCATGATCCTGGAGTCCCTGGATCGAGTCCCGCATCGGGCTCCCTGCTCGGCAGGGAGTCTGCTTCTCCCTCTGGCCCTCCCCCCTCTCATGTGCTCTCTCTCATTCTCTTTCTCTCAAATAAATAAATAAAATCTTTAAAAAAAACAAACAAACAAACATAAGAAGACTAAAATGTGATGACATATGGAGGGAAGGAAGCAGACGAGATGAGGTCTTGGGACTAAAGGACAATATGGTGGTGAGCTTCCTGACATTTCTCTTTGCCTCTTATATCCCAGACTTGGAGTTAGACAAGCTGACAACCTAGAAATACTAACAGGTGTGGACAAAAACAGCCCCAACAAGAGCTAGTTCTATCTAGCCAAATGGTAAGGAAAGAGGCAGCCTAGCAAGAAGGATGAGTTTAAACTATACTACTAGCTCTACTCCAGCCAAAAACCACCGAAAAAACAGTGGCCCCAACCCTACCGCACCAAGAGAAGCAGGGAGCTTAGACTTCTACTCTAACTGGACTGTAACAAGGTGCCCACAAACCCTTTCTTTCCCCCAAGCTAAGGCATCAGAGAAGGCAGGATAGGGAGCTGGAACTTTCATTCCTAGGGCACAATAATGAGGTCCCTGACCCCTCAATACCACTGGAGGCCAGGGGGGAGCCTGAACTTCCATACACAACTGTTGGTAACAAGACTGACCCCTACCTACCAGTGCCAATGGAGAGCAGCAGCAAGGCCCTCCTGCTCCTTGAACCCAGAGTGATATTAGTGAAGGTCTAGGGGGGACCTGAAACTCTCCCTACTGCCCATCAGTAACAAAGAGCCCTCACACCCAGGGTGTCAATGTGGTAAAACGGGGAACCTAGACTTTCACCTCCACCTGCCTGTAACAAGGCCCATTCTTCTCCTGTCTGAGTGGTGTTGGAGGAGACAAAGTTCAAACATAAGATTTAAATTGGATCTTAGTCTCATAGTGTAATACCCAAATGTCAGGTTTCAATGTAAAATTATTCATCACACCAAGAATCAGGACAACTAATAGATACAAATATCAACATGACAGAGAGGTTAGAATTATCTAATGAGGATTTTATTTTATTTTATTTATTTTTTTTTAAGATTTTATTTATTTATTTGACAGAGAGAATGAGAGAGAGAGCACATGAGAGGGGGGAGGGTCAGAGGGAGAAGCAGACTCCCTGCCGAGCAGGGAGCCCGATGCGGGACTCGATCCTGGGACTCCAGGATCATGACCTGAGCCGAAGGCAGTCGCTTAACCAACAGAGCCACCCAGGCGCCCCTCTAATGAGGATTTTAAAGGAGACATCACCCAAGTGCTCCATTGAGAATTACAGACACACATGAAAATAAATAGAATGTCTCAGTAAAGAAATCGAAAATCTCAGCAAAGAAAAAAATATATATTTTTATATATTATTTATGTATATGGGGTATATATTGTTTACATATATATTTATATATATGGGGTATAAAGAAAAAGCAAATGAAACTTTAGAAGTGAGAAGTGTACAATAACAGAAATGGAAAATGTGGCAAAGAAATAGAAAGTCTTGCAGAGAAATTAAGATATAAAGAAGAATAAGGTAGAAAGTTGAAAACTGAAAAATAAAAATAAAATGAATGAATAAAAAATTCAGCAGGCGGCCTCAGCAGCAGAATGGAAGAGACAGCGGAAAGGTTCAGTGGATTTGAAAATAGAACAATAGAAATTACTCAGTCTCAACAGAATGAAAATAAACTAAACCAATGAGCAGGACATCAAGACCTTGTGGCACTATAACAAAAGATCTAACATTTATCCCATCAGAGTCTCAAAAGAAGAAAATCTGAAAAAGTATTCAAAGTAAGGGTTGAAAACTTCTTAAACTTGGCAAAGACAAGTACAAGAAGCTGAGCAAACCCCAAACGGATAAACTCAAAGAAATCCATACCAAGACAGATGGCCAACAAATTTCTGAAAACCAATGACACATTAAAAATCTTGAAAGCAGTGAGAGAGAAACTTTAGGGGAATGACACTATAGGGAAAACATAACTTGAACAGCAGCAATGTTTGCCTCAGAAACCATAGAGGTTAGGAGAAAATGGCACACTCATTCTTCGTGGTTGAAAGAAAAGAATTATCAGGCTAG